TAAAATAGCTCAGATCTCATTGTTAAATTGTACTTATACATTGAGGAACTGCTCATTTATAGCTTTAATCACCATTGTAATTAAGTAGTTATTTGGTTAGCCTTGCTAGTGGTAAGTTCAGAGAAAGAGGAACCACATTTTCATAAACTGTGTTTGAATTTTTCTCATAGAGAAGCATATGAATGGTGCATTCTCCTTGAACAAAAAATGCAATAGAACATCTGTTCATGATGCATTTCCGAAGAGCAGAGCCGAATGAATATTATTTGAGAACTGACTGGTACCGACAAGATGTTTGACAATGCACTACTGAGGCATGACTAATAAAATATATGAGAGTTAGGTTGGGGGAAAACAAAGCTGTTATCTGTAATCACTAATGTGACAAGAATAAATAATAAAAATTGGTGCAATAAATTGCATAGAAATGACTCATGATGAGTTTCCTGGGAAACTGAATATATTAATTCCTAGAAGTCAAAACCACACGCTGGCTGGTAAAAAGATGACTGGAAATTCCTGGAAATAGAGAAGCTTGGGTAGCAGGAACTTGGAACCTGACCCCCTGAATTCAGAATTTACAGGGCCAGTGTGTAATGGATGCCAGGCAATACATCAGGGAGGCTGGAAGTCTGGTAGGGACAGGGCCTTTGAAAGATCTAATGGGAACCTGGTAGAGATTGTGGCTGTCCTTGTAGGGAACTGGAGACCTGGTATGGCTGATGCTAAGTTGCTGGCATATACGGAGAACCTTCTCTTGATCCTGGTGAATTCAAAGTGTTTCAAAAGACTTTGGGGTATGGACTGGCTGTTTCTGAGCAGCTTTTGTATGGAATTGGAACAGTTTCTTGAGATATAATGGTAAAGTTTGTATACTTTGAAGCTTGCATTCTTAAATGAGACATTATAATATTAAAGATCAGCACCAGTTGTGATATTATAAATTTACGGTTTCCAACACTGTAATTACTTGTTGGGTATGAGTACTTAATTATATTGCTGTGTAATTACTACTGAACCTACCCCCAATTTGTCTTTAAAAGAAAGTTTGCTTTGTAACTAAAGTATTTCCAGGGGCCAGAGAACCAATTTCACATCTGAAATATTCAGATAATTTTTAATCATCAGAGATAGACCCAACTTAGCCAAAAAGTATTCCTCTACATTAATGCACTTTTGTCTACACTCAGGATCTCTAAGATAACTGTGGCCCACAAGTGGGAATTTGCCTGTGTGGATAGATTGGATTGCTACATTTTCAGAAATCATGAAACATAAACAAAATAATATTGAGTTCCCAGGAGAGCACCCAACATTGCCATTTCAAATTTTGTCAGGAAAAGCCAAAGCACTTTCTATATTTTTTCTCATTATTTCCCAGTAACACTCTAGAAACCATGATTATTTTCCAGGCAATCTGGTTGTTGGTGATAATAATGGTGGTGATAATAGGGAGGAAGAGAAGAAGGAAAAAGGAAACTGGAGGGGAGAGAAGATGAGATCACATGACACAATTGAAACTGTATTAAAATGAAACTTAAGAACCAGGGATTATATCTTTATTCTTACCACTAACTTGGAGTGTGACCTAGAAGCTAGTTCTTTAGGTCTCAAGTTCTACATCTATACAATAAGTAAGCTTAACTTGGTGATTTATGTATTCACTTATGTCTGCCATATTTAATGCATTTAGGACGAAAGTGGGACATTTTCATTTCCTTAAAGGAATGGGACTTTTTGCAAGTCTATTATTCCCCTGAGCCTCTATTTTATCATGTATTAATACGAGTACATAATATGAGTACATAAATTCCTAACAGGTCTGTTTGAGGGTATAATGAAATGATGCATAGGAAATTGCTTTAAAGATTTCTTGGCTCTACACAAAGATATCAGTTTGTTTTTATGTTTGGCTCATTGACAACAAGCTACATTTATAGCAACTGACTTTCTGAAATAGTATATTTATAAAAGCTTAGAAGGTAATCATAATAAATGAGAGTATCCAATTTCATGGGGAGATTCAACTGAAACAGACATCTGGGCTGCTCTAGAAGCTCATTTTCAGCTACATTGAGTTCAAGCCTTGGGAAGGCACCAAAATGGAAACCATACCTTCTGAACCTAGACTCTGCCCACCTAGGATCAGTGATAACCTCCTCACACACACGTAGAGAAACGATTCAGATTGGAAACTGGCTGTTGGAATATGAAATTCAGGCACTATTGCCAAAGAACATGTTCTCTGAAAATTTTTGTAAGATTTTATTACATTACAGAGATTGTATATGAAAGAACATTAGAATGTGGAGTATAAATGTTCATACTTATATACAGATATGATTATAGGAATAAAACACATATACACCCACAAAGATACATATGCAAAATTTAGATTTATTGTTTTCCAGAGAATGTAAGTCCTTCCTTGTGCATGTTAGAAAGGGAAAGGCTTATCAATAAGATTCCTCAGAGAACTGAGTTAAGCAGGAACTGTCTCCAATTTTTATCAGCGCTATCGCACCTCCAGTTTTCCTATACTCCAATCAGATATGCTCCCATGCTCTGATCTGAGCTCATTATTGTATTCTGTATCACAGCTGGGAGGAGGTTTATTCTTAGTTTCAGTCTGTTTTAGTTTGCCTTTGAATTCATTGGAGTTTTGTAATTTTAGTTCTTGTATTTTACAGTTTTAGCATTTTCGTGTCCATTTTTATATATTCCAGCACTCTGTCAAAATTCTTAAACTTGTCTTTAATTTCTTAAGAATAATAACCACAATTATTTTTCTATATATTTCTAATATGTTCATTATCTGGATCTCCTGTAGGTTTGTTCGTACTGTGTTGTCTCTTTCTTTCTTTCTTTCTTTCTTTCTTTCTTTCTTTCTTTCTTTCTTTCTTTCTTTCTTTCTTTCTTTCTTTCTTTCTTTCTCTTTTGGTAACATTGGTAATTTTTAATCAATTAATTACCATAGGTACTTTGAGGCTCTGAATAGGTCTATTTGGAGAGGAATTTACTCTGGATGTACTACGGTGGAGTAAGATTACTAATACTCTCCTATCTTCAATATTGATACAATTCAAAGATTGGCTTCAATTCCTATGAAACATATCTAAGTTTACCTACTTATAATAAAATTGTAGTACAATCTTTAAGCCTAGAACATATGAAAAACCTAGAATGTTTACTTGTATTCCCAGCTTTTTAGAAGGTCCTGGAATCTCATTCTGTTCATTCACACCATGAGCTCATCCATTTTGGAATCAATGGACAACTCCAGGAAGAAAATAGTCCAAATACCAACATTTCATTGACTTAAAGCCTCTTCTAATTTTGATCTTGCAGTTCTTAACATGATGGTGCTCTAGTGTTTGTGCAGGTTATTTTATCTAGTTTGATAGGAATGATTCAAACTACCCAGTTTAATGCTGTCAAAGGTAATATTTGGTAAATAACATCATGTTAAATTTCTGTATATAAGGATGGTTGGAAAAAATTTATTTTATGATATATGCAAAATTATTTAGAATGGACGAAAAATCTGGAGTGATGATTTTCAGCCATTTAAATATCTAGCCCTATTTACCAAATAAACCCCCCACTCATTATAAATTAATTGCCCAAATGTTCCCTAAATATACAAGGTAACTATATACCTCTTGGCCTTGTTCATTCCATTTAATCTTCCCAAACTATTTCTATTCTATCCTATACTACCTCTTTTTTTGCTTTTTTATAGTAGGCTCCATCTTTCAAGAAATTGGGAGCATCAATTTTTCTTTAAGACTTGGATCTTTGGCCAGACCTTGACTCACTTTTAGCTTCCATTGCCTCATGTTTAAAAGAAATGGAGTACATAAAATTTATCTTCCTCTGAGCACTGTTTAAGATTATAAAGAAATAATGACTTGAAAACCTCTTTGAACATTGATTTAGCTCAGTACAAAGGTAATGCTTTTTTATTATTAGATTTGTCTCCTGATCAAATGGTGTCTGACATAGCAGTGTATGGTTTTCTGGAATATGTGGCCTATAAAAGATTAACAGGTGACTATAAAAAATAAAAATAAAGGCTCCCCATTTTTTGCTGACATAAAGGCTGTGGTTTTTAACCATAAGTAGTTTGAGCCATTGGAAAACGTAGAGGTTAAAACCCATACATCCTGAAGCAAAATCTTAACACCAAGAATAATTGACTTCCTCCTTATATACTGTAAATAAATGAATTCCATGGAAAAGTACTCACAGGGCTTCAGGGATTTGGTCACTTTACCAACCAACATGGGATGAACTTAATGCAAGTTATTCAAGCTTTATATTTAGTATTTTCTGAAAATATACAGACACAAGTTAGATTTACATTTAATTTGTATTTCACGTACAAACCCAGCAGTTTTTCTAAATTTTATTCTTTCTCTCTACATTCCATATGTATCCACCAACTTTTGAGCTTTTCTCCTCCTGTGAAGAGAGATACAAGAACTCACATGATTTAAAGAATTAAGCTTTCTAAGCTCTTGATTTGTTTATTTATACAATGTTTATATTAAAATGCAAACAAAATCTAAAGACCAAAAATTTTATTTCAAATCCCCCAACCTCTAGAAATTCAAAGCTTGCTTTGCAAAGCAAATTAACCTTTTACACATATAAACCTGATAAAGAGTGAAAGAAATTCCTGGTCAAGAAACAAATAACAAATAATAATAACATCAACATATATGGATGCCAGAATAAATATGTTTATTTACTTAAGACAATTAGATTTTGCTAGTTCTTGAAGGATATATAATACCTGGATGATTTCCATCTAATGCAACTATAATTTAAAGTTTAGGTTCATTACTTAGGTTTAAATTCTGCAAGAACCAACCTGTAAGCTAAATTGAGTGGCCATAGAGTGGGTGAGCAATTTGTCTTTGGAGACCATGAAGAGAGCTATTTGAGAGAATAAAATAATTGACATTCTCTGAAAATATTCAGCATGTTAATAACATTCACCAAGTTAATCTGTAAAAGTGAGATCTACAGATTGGCTGGTAGCAAAATGGTTGGGAATTCCGAAAAACAAAATAGGTTGGATGGTAGAATCCAGATCCATAGTCTAAGGTAGGAGAATCACAGACTCCATAACGCAGGGGTCTGAACCCATTGGACCCACAGCGCAGAGACCCAGAGTAAGCTGACGGGGAGGGACGGCAGAGCGTCGAGGTCCTCGGGCGGTAGCAGGGCATCTGGCAGGGGCTGGACACCACGCAGGGCGTCCGGCAGCTGATGGGCTCACAGCAGGTGTCCTGACAGCCACTGTAGAGAGAGGAGCCCAGCTGGCAGGTGCTGGGGGAGCAGTGGCCAGTGGTGTAGACCAGGTTGCTGAGGTAGGAAGAGCCACAGGAGGAGCCTGGGTAGCACAGGGAGCCCCCAAGGGAGCGGGAGGAGAAGTTTCCAGAGCAGCAGTTGTAGGACATGTTGACGGGAGATGTGGGTTCCGCTGAGCTACAGAGAGAAGATTCTGAGTTTGAATGTCACTCCTGGGCTGTGGTATTTATTATATGTGCTTTCGGCAATAGGTGCTGAAAGCTGCAAGGACATCATTTCTTCATTTGTACTCTTTCATTTGCATGTTATTACCGAATCATCATTTCTGTAATTGCAGCTGCATAATTTCCTACATATTGTATTTATGGGTGCTATAATAATAAAACACAAAGCCAATAAACTACTCTTGTGTCAGAAACGCTATGACCGTTTTACATTAATGGCCGTCCCATCATGGCCAGGAATGTCCCTCCTTTATGCTTCACGTGTAGCTGATTCGGGCTACGCTGGAGTGTGCGTTCCTTCTAAGGGTGGAGACTGAGATTGCATCACCTTTCTTTTATTTTTTTTATTTGGTTAGATGCATAGCTGTGGCCTTGCAAAAACATTTTCTAAAGATTGAACCTACTTATGACCATTTATTCTTATTCTCAAAAATTATTTTCCAAATATTAAATATTAATGCAGAGTATCTTATATCCAATAGAGAAAGCTCAACAATGTTACAGACTGAATGGAGGAATGCTAAGAACAGAGGAAAACCTGAACAAGAATTTGGAAGCAAGACAAAAGAACCTGGACAAGTAACTATAATACGTACACCTAAATATTATTCTTGTTCATGAAATGTCCAATGTTTCTATCAAGTTCACAGTTACATTCAGATAAGTCACACTGAGAAGATTCTGAGTTTTATAGTTATCTTGTGGACTGAATAATTTATATACTATTATTAATTGGTACTGTACAGTATCGGTACACGTTTGCATACCTCTTCTGCATGTATGTAATTCATTAATCTTCTCTGTAATTGCACTTGACTAGCTTCCTACCTATTGTATTTATGGGCGTTATAATTTATTAGTATAGCACAAAGCCAATCATCATTCCTATTATGGAATATTTGTCAATAATCTTCATCTCACTGCGGCCAGAGAAGCCCTTTCTTTTCTCCCTGGCCATGATTCCATATACATGTACTCCTGCTTTGCTCTGGCTTCTTTCTGTCACTTTTCTTCTATGCCGAGTGATCGGTGGCATAGCTTTGTTTCTTATAATGATGCTTCTAATGATTGATTCTACTTGTCACCACTGATTCACATTCTCCAAATTTATTTTCCATCTATCACATATTATTACACAGTGTTTTTCACATCCAGTGGAGGGAAGAAAAATAACACATAATGAGAAATGGCTAGAAACAGAAAGGAGCCAGGCAAACATTTAAAGGCAAAGTGACTCGGGAAACCTGAATTGAGATGGAGTCACAAGGAGAGGTTGGTTGGAGGCACCTGAAGAGGATCTGGGAGTAATGGTGATAAGGTGGGAGCCTGAGAAGGGGAGTGAAGAGATGGGGGTTTCACATGACCCTTCTACTCTCTTTTAGCCTATGGGACATTTCATCTAAATGCTATTTAAATACACTGTGTGAAAGAAAATAGTTTAGGTATGTTCAGATAGTTTCATTCACATCATACAAATATTAAAAGAACCTGGTGCCTGTATCCTCAGGCTTTCCACTAATCAGCCCATCAATGAGTTTTGTGTGTTTTCAAAGTCAGTTCCTTTCCTGCAACCTCCTTCAGAAATGTAAAATATCCTTCTTTTTTCACCCTCAGTCATTTTATTTTTCCTTTGACTAATACAATAACTGAGTGAGTGTTAATTTCCAATGGATTCACTGTGTCAGATAATCTGGCACTGAAATAAATACTAACAGAAATTCTTGAGGCTGAAGGAAGCCGATCATAGAAGGAAACTATGAATTTCAAGAAAGAATAGAGAGAATATTTGCTAGCTGGATTCTCCAGGAAGCAGGCACTGAGACAGGGGTAGAAGAACAAAAAGTTTGCAAGAGAGTAGCACCTGTGAAAGAAATTTAAAAAAAATGTCATTCTTTCATCTTGTTCAGCTATTGACCAGGAGCTGCCATGAAAAAAACTTGACCTTGACTCCAAATTTGAGGCTTCCCTTAAGGAAGTCAATGGAGGAAGGCTGTCAGCTAACGTCCCTTGACACAACTGGACAGCTATTCCTTTTTTGAAGTGATGTTTGTCCCAGCACATATCTGTACCTGTCACAGTCCACCACTTGCACCTTGAGGGTCTGATTGTCATGAGAGTGATTCTCCATGGCCCTGGTATGCCTCTCTTCCTAAGGGGAAATGTAAAAGTATAAGGAAATATAAAAATGTAAAAGTGGGATGAAACAGTCCCTTTTGCTGTGTTTGATCTTGGAGCTACAATTGGTGTTCATCATTTTGCTCCTTCACTCTCCATCATAAATCTACCTCACCCTCAGTTACTACCTCCATTGGTCCTGGTGGCTTCTTTTGTTGTTCCCAAGCACTTATTCATGAGAAGTGTGAACCTTGTTAACCATACCTTTTTCTTCATAGAGTCAGGGCATTTGACAAAACACATCCACATTTGCACAGGAGGTTCTGAGAGTCATCCAAGTAAACCAGCTGAGCTCCACACATACTCTCCCTACCCTCACTGTGTAACAGTAACCCTAACACTTCCTACTACGCAGGGTCATCTACTCTTGATAGAAAGTAACTCTTTTTCATGCCTGCCCATCCCTGAAAACAAGGAGCCCAAAGTGCTTAGGCAGCAGCTATAGCTCAGTGAGACCCTTGATATGTCCCTTAGTTCCGTTGGGAACTGGGCAACTACCCTTGAAAATTCTAGTTGTAGAGAGAGGAAGCACAAAGTACTCAAACGGTCATTGAGAGACAGTACCCAGGTATTTACAGCCCAGTCTTTTGAAGGATTTGCCTCTGGGTTAATTATTCAGCTTTGCTGTCAGTAGGCCCACCTAACACACTATCAGGCAGGGAGGTGCGGGGTGGTGTATTTTTGATAAAATCTGTGGATCCCACTTCACATTATCTCCATTGTAATGAGCCCACTTCACACTGTCTCTACTGGAAAGTGGATTTCCTGAATGGATGTTACATTGTGAGGAATTCTGTGTTGATTGATCCAGATTTTCATCACCTCCTGAATAGTGGTGCTGCTGAGGGAAGCAGCGAAGCAGACCCATACTCTGAATAGGTGTCTATGTGTTTGAGAATGAACCACTGATCTTTCCAGGGCAGAAGGGGGCCATGTTCAACTTGCAGCCAAGTAGCCAGATGGCTTCCTTGCCATACTGGGTGTTTCAAATTAGCCTCTGTTGCTGACAGATTGGGCATTCACAGGTGGCTTTTAAAAATTATATCAGCCTTGTAAGTAGAGACTCATGATGTGGGGCCCATGCATAGCCTCTGTGGTCACTTTGTCCTGTTTTGCATCTTGTCAGCATTTGGACACTGGTGACAAAGACGGGCTAACATCAACTGGCAAAGGCATTTTGTCTACCTGAGTGTTTTGTTCCTCTTTCAAGGTGGATGCATTCTGTTGTATCCCTTCCAGGTCCCTAACTAGCTGGTCAGGTCAATGGCCACTGTTAAAGAATCTAGACACATCATCAACTGGGGCTCCCCCCCCCCTTTTACACAAAGTGAAAAATCAGGTGCTGGACATAAAATTCAGCCAATAGAGAAAATATTATCCCCAACGCATTAATTCAAGACGTCCATATAATGAGCCAATCCATTTGCAAACTTAGCTTGGGCTTCTCCCCTCCTCTTTCAGCAAGTCACTTGAGGCACCTAGATGTGACCACACATGTCATCTGAGAAAGTGCAATCCTGGTTGGTGACACGGGGGTCTGGATTCCTAGTCATGCCATCTGCTTTCTTATTCTGCTTATGTTTATACCTGTTTGAGCTATTTCCATCTTACAATCACTTGCTGCTGAGTCCACCTTACTTTATAACTTGGAGGATTCAACAGGATCCAGCTCATGATGGACAGCTACAGGTGCATGGTCACTTGTCCCATGGTCAAGTTTTGTATCTTTGCCAGACCAACATAGTATCCAAGGAGCTGATTTTCCAAAGATATATTAAATATTCACTGTAGATTACAAAGACTTGCTCTACAACTTTATTTACTTGCATTGTGATCTCACACTAGGGCTTGTCATAAAGTTCACATTGCGTTTTTTTTGTTTTTTTTGTTTGTTTTTTTGTTTGTTTGTTTTTGGTTTTTTTGGACAACAGATACCACCAGCATGAGATGGTCAGCCATATTTTGTATTTAACATAAATATATATTTAAATAAAATTAAATATAACAATGTATTATTTTATGTATTATATTTGACAAAAAGCTTTATTTTATAAAATATTTAAGAATGTTTAAACAGGTAGAAAATAGAGTGAAAGTAACCAAGCAGAAAGCTATTTTAACAGTACAAATAAGAGGTACCTTAAGATTATCCTAAGTATCATCTATTTTGTGAATAAAATGCAGTATGCTAAGATTAATGTGACCCCAAACTTGAGATATCTAAACAATGACGTGATAGATACGTGTTATACATCTCTAGCCAGAATTTTCATTGCTGCGCCATACAAATTATAACTTGATTTCCAATAATCTCCTGAACACAATTACCTTTAAATTTCTCTGCTTTGTTCATTTTATTTTGTCTTCTCAAAATTTTCCTTATTTTTTCCCACACTTGTATCTTCACTTCTTATATTAGTCCCCATGTGTCATGAAATCTTGGATCTTGGTTTCTTACTAGGACGAGGACTTACCATGAACCCAAAGTAAAAGAACTGTGGTTCATAAAATGTGTGCTTTTCATGGTTCTTATAGCAATCTAAAAACTAATTGATAGGAAAGTTCTTTGAACATTGCTTTTTATCTCTGTATAATTATACTGTCTTTATGTTATTAACTGTAGACCTCAGCAACATGTTACCTATCTTATCACTTAATTATTTTCTGAAATATTTGGCCTATAAAATATAATAATAGCAACATAAAATAAAAAAAGGGGGGGCTGCAAAACTATGTTGAGATATGAATGAAGTAATAATTTCTGATATGAAAGACTTGTTTTTTTCCAACTGTTTAGTTTGAGTTTTGCATATAAGATATTGAAATTCCATATCTCATGAACCTAATTAATTCTCACCAGGGATAATTGGCTTCTTCCTTGCACATGTAAAAAAAAATAATAATTATATACAAAAGTACTCATTGAGATGAGGGGCTATGATTCTTTTTGCCATCCAATATTGACTTAATCAAAGAAAGTTGTTTAAACTAATGTACAAATTTTTCCATAAACCTAATTTTCCCCTACTTGTTGTATTATCAAGTTTTGTGTTTTTCTTCTATTGTCAAAAACCATCAAGGCCCCACATTCTTTGAAGGAAATGTGCTGTATACTGCTCCTTAAATTATTATTCACATAAAGTCTATGTATGCAATGGAAGTATTCCAGGGAATAGCAGTTTTGAAGAAGAAAAAGTCTAAAGCCCATAATAAATTAACAAATTTACCAAACTATTAGGCATTCGAAGTCGGCTCCCAGAGGCACAGTAAACTTTAATCTAAATACCTCCCCCCAAATAAAAGCTAAAAAAAAACCTTAGCTGATTATAACTAACAAAATAAAATTAGTAGCATATTTGGAAGTCAGAATGAATGAGTTTATTAGATTATATTCATTTGGGTTTTCATCTACATTGTGAATAAAATACAAGAACAAGAAATCCATTAGTTCAGTAACAATTCATTGTTAATTAACCAAAATTCTAATAATTGTTTTAGTAATGTATTTCATTAATTCCACTAGTTTCATTAATTCATACAATAGAATTAATCATTAAGTTCAGTATATATTATTGACAGCTTTTTAGTGAATATTTTGTGATGAGTGAAAAGGTGAATAACGTTTTTGCTGGAGATCATAAAGATGGTAGATGTTTAGATATTTGATATTGCTCAAAACGTCTGAATCCTCAACAAGCTGATAAATAGAAGCCAGGTGTACATGTTGGTCTGTAACACGATGATTGGCAGTTTCTAGAGGCAAATTGGTTTGGACGGCAGAATCCAGGTCCATAGCCAAGGGAAGAGAAGCCACGGACTCCATAACGCAGGGGCCTGAAGCCACTGGAACCACAGCCCAGGGAGTAGGAGCTTCTGGATCCACAACCCAGGGAAGGGAAGCCACAGACTCCATAACGCAGGGGCCTGAACCCACTGGAACCACAGCCCTGGGAGTAGCAGCTTTTGGATCCATAGCCCAGGGAGCAGCTGCTGCTGGACCCACAGCCCAGAGACCCAGAGAAAGATGACGGGCAGGGACTGCAGAGCGTGGAGGTCCTCGGGCGGTAGCAGGGCGTCTGGCAGGGGCTGGACACCACGCAGGGCGTCCGGCAGCGGATGGGCTCACAGCAGGTGTCCTGACAGCCACTGTAGAGAGAGGAGCCCAGCTGGCAGGTGCTGGGGGAGCAGCGGCCAGTGGTGTAGACCAGGTTGCTGGGGCAGGAAGAGCCACAGGAGGAGCCTGGGTAGCACAGGGAGCCCCCAAGGGAGCGGGAGGAGAAGCTTCCAGAGCAGCAGTTGTAGGACATGTTGACAGGAGATGTGAGTGACAATGAGAAGATTCTGAGATTGAATGTCACCTCCCAGACTGGGTCATTTTTATACTCTCAGCCATGGGTGTGGCTTTCTACACAGTCATGGAACCTATGCTTGGAATTTCTCGTTTCCATGTGTGTAGTTCAATGATGTTTTCTGTAATGGCATATGAATAATTCCTTTCATCTCATGTTCATGGGTGAGTTCATTGTGTTTTTATAGCACTAAGCGAATGAACTATTCCAACAACAGAAATTCTATGACTGTATGCCATTGATGTCATCTAGTCATGACCGGGAAAGCCCCTACTCGTCTCCTTAGCCAGAATCATTGAGCGTTGGCCTGTATGTTGGCTGTGGGATGCTTAGTTCTAAGGGCAGGGATGGAGATGAAGTCACTTATTTTCTATGTCTGTGGAATATAGAAGACACCCAATTTGTTACTCATGATTTCCTTTTCCTAAATTTATTTCATTCCTCAAAATTATTAACATGTATTTTCATTATATAATATATTGCTTCTCAATCTCTTGGAAAGAGGAAAATAGATAAGATAAATTTCCTAAGAAACATGGTAGTCGCACAGATAAACAAGGACAAGTGTTTAGAGTCAAAATGATTAAGAAAGACTAATTTGAAACAATTAATGGATACCAATTTGTGCACATGTGAAGACTCAAGAAGTCAAATATTCTTGAGGAGAGAGGAGGTAACTAGTGACTCTGTGGATTTTTCCATCTCTGTGTAATTTAAATAATAAGTTTAATATCAATATAGTTTATGGCTTTTCATATGTACCTTGTCTCTCTTGTCATTTACATTTACAATTTATCTGCAGACCCTTCTCTTCTAGAACAGCTGCCTTCCCTCAGTACCTTCTGGATGTCTTTACTTTCAGATCCTTTCACACAATTTTCCCTTTTACGTAAAATATATATATATATATATATATATAATTTTTTTTCCTACTGTTCTTTTTTAAGATTATTTTCTACTGTAAGAAATCTAAGTTATCTTTTTTTTGTATAGAGCTGTCTATATCAGGCAAATCTGAGCTAAAATGAATACTGAAGGATTCTCTCCAGTTAGAAAGATAATACTTTCAGAAGGAAATTAGGAATTGCAGAAAGGAAAAGAGAACTGAAATATAAGTGAATTATGTTTAAATACTCATGTGCACAGCACTAATAAAATGGTTTGTGGGTCTTAATATATAGGGAGAAGTAAACAGTAATAAAATAAGAATGACCATAAAAAGCTCTTAAATTGCTTAAAAAATTAAAATCCTGGAAAAAATAACTTAAAGGTTAATATTATAGCATTAAAACATTTTATTATTTCCTCAGTAGATAATAAAGTAGGTAGAAAGGAACATAGAAGCTGAATCAAATGGCAAAAACATAGTAAATATGTACGTAGAAATCTGAATGTGTTCATAATTAAATTAATATAATATGATGAAGGAATCCATATAAAAGACAGAATACCAGGCTGGGCTAAAAATCAAAACTGTTTTCTATTTAAAATAGGTTTTCTTAAATATATGGAAACAAAAGGGAAAAGTAAAAAAGATATATCAAGCAAAAGAAACAAACGAAAATGACAATTCTGCTTTATTAATCTCAAAGTTTGCTATATGATAAGAAATATATTAGATATAAAGCAAGATATTTCTTAACAATTATCCCATCCTGTCAGCCTTCCAGGATGATACCCATCATTTTATTATTCATTTAGAGGTTACCCTAAAGCCATACCATTGAATAGAATAGCCACTAGCCACATAGTATCAAGTTTAATTTATACTTATTAAATTGAATCAAAATTCAGTTCCTCAGTCATAGTTACCATATTTCAAAAGCACAACAGGTACATGTGGCTAATGGGTACCAAATTTTGGAAAGTGGAGATAAAAAAATATTTTCAGCATCACAAAAAGTTCTACTGGACAGTGCTGCTTCAGAAATCACAGTATGCAAGGGAATTGTAATAGATACATATGATATTGGGGGGAAGTGGGGCGGTGGATTGGGGAGAGGGGTTGTCACTTTGAGGGGTAAAATGTATAACTAGTGCACTGTGTTGTATAGCTGAAACTAATTCTAAAAAATGTATATTTCATAATAAAATATAATTTAAAAAAAAGAAAGGATCAAATAGACCTGACGTCTTTGTTTATTCAATCATTTGGTCATGTTAATCAGCACCTTCAATCAGAAGTTGGTGTGTCAATGACCGTGTGTGAGAGACCATCAAAGTATAATACCATGTCCTTCTCATCAAGCACCTAGTATTCAAATTAAGTTACTCATTGGGCCCAGAACAGTGAAGTGTTCATTTTCATGTATTGGTTATTAGTGTGGTCCTTGGATTGAGAGAAGAAATAGTGCCATAGCTTAAACAGGCTCTGGCTGCGATGAAAGCTGGATAGCAGAATGAAAGTAAACAAGAGACGGTCCGCTGAGTCAACAAGTATCATTAACTACAACTATGTGATTGTGTCAGGAAAAGTTTGAAAACAGATTTGTTTGGATAATTTTGAAATATGGGCAAAATGGACATAAGCAACGATATTCTGCGATAGAAATTGATGTTGATGTAAACCTGATTTTCCCCTGTCTGTAACTATCAATAGTACTATCCTAAAGACATAGTATATATAGCTTAGAGTTAAAAGATAGCAGCTTTAAACCGTTTTTAACCTTGAAGTTTAGCTCTATCACTTTGTATTTTTGTTATGTTTAGACAAGTTATTTAACCATTCTTAGCCTCCATTCCTCATCTGCAAATGGGAATAATAATAATAATATCTGCCTTTATGTTTGTTGTGATAAATAAATGAGATAATGAATGAAACATATAACGAATGGCCTATAGCAGGTTCTTAATTTTAGATGCAAAAATTATTAAAAACAGAGTCAAATCACATAAGACTGTCATACCACTGAACATTATGGGAAGGTGTTAACATAATAAACTCCTTAGTAACACCTCAAAAAAAAAGAAATCACAGGATGCACTGTTGATTTGCTAATATAAATTAATACTTTTACTAGTCCCTGTATAATGCCAGAGTGTTAGAAATCTTGTTTAGGACTCCAGTTGAAATTATGTTAGACCTTTCCATGTTCTCTGAAGCACCATTTTTTATTTTTTAGTGTGAATATATTCTAGTGAACAATCACTAACTGTCTGCCCAGCTGTATCTAATTTCTTTTTAATCCACTCAACAATTTTACATTTAATTATTGTGTTTTCCTATTTCAGTATTTCTGCTTGGTTCTTTTAATATGTTTCAGTGCTCTGCCAAACTTTTCAATCTACCCTTGTATTTTCTAAGCATATAAATTGTAGTTACTTTAGTATCTATGTCTAATATTTCCATTTACTAAATCTCTTGCAAGTGTGTTTCTACTACATGATATATATTTTGGATTTAGTCATTTCTTAACTTCTTGGAATCTGGTAAAATTTTCTTGCATATCAGCCTATCTCTATCTCTATACCATCTATATAAATCTATATATTTCTCTCTATAAATCTATATCTACATTTACATAAATCATACCTATGTAAAGATATAATTTAAGGCTCATTCCTATTATCATGTTAACTTAAGTATTGAAATAATTTGGAACTGAACTTTTGTTCATAGCAAGGGTTAAATATTTATGGTTCAACCTACTCCTAAGGTGCTGTTCAGAGTCCTAGATAATTTTGGCCAAAAAAAATCACTGGACATTTCTAACCTTCAATTTTTGTTATCCCAACTCATGAATTTCATCAGCCTCTTTTTTTTTTTTTTTTTGGATTCAACAAGCCTAATCTAAAGGTAGTCACAAATTCTATGAGTTCTTTTTGTTGTTGTTGCTATTGTTAAATCTTCTCTTACATGTTGGTTCTGGTCATTTCTGGATATTTTCATATTTATTTTCTTTGTCTAGACTTTTCTTTTAGAAAAAAAAAAGGCATTAGTTCCAAATATTTTTTTCATTTGTAAGCATATCGATTTTCACCTTATTCCCCATTAGGAATAAACTTGAAAATCATACCTAATCATTGGATGGAAGATTTATTTTATAAAATACGAAAGACTGATTAGAATATGAGAGAAATAGGAGTAAGAATGTCCAATTACAATACAATGTTAGTGGTTCGAATGGAAGGGGATGAAAACAAGAATTATTGTGATTTAATATGTAATACCTCTAAATGATGACATGATGGTTGCACATCCACTATTTTTAACCGTATTTGTCATTGCCACACCCTATAGAATCTCCTTAAATTGTAAGTTAACTACATTTTGAATTTTTAAATGAATACACAAGTCATTTTCAGCTTTTTCTGCTTTGTTTATTGCATTTCATCTTCTCAGATTTCTCCTCCCCCACTCCAATACTTCTGTGTCTATGCAGTTCAAAGTACACTCCATCTTTTAAATTGTCATGGGAGTTTTTCATATGAGTTCCTTATTTTCTTTGTGTCTCCATTTTCTTAAATTTAACATAAAAATTTACAGTGTGTGTCTTTCTCTAAGGGTTGTTATACAGCCTAAAGAAATAAAGAGTGGGAATATTTATTGAACATGTTTTAACTCTTTCATCTCTTTTTTAGGTTTCTTTTCAAAAGCTATTTGTCTTTGCGCTTTACTATTTCTGGAAATACTTTGCCCAAGAAAACAAAAAATATTAGAGAGAGAGAGACAGAGAGAAAATGTTTCCCCAATTTTTTTGTTGACATACACATTAAATCATCACTTTTGATGATATCAAACATTTATAGTTTCAGTTTAAAACATGAATAAAAACCAAGGTGGAATATGAACCTTATGATTATAGAGTCTTCAAATTTTGTGGTATTGTTCATTACACATATATAGCTGAGATCATATTGAATACTCATCAGTGAGATGCAGGTACTTGATCACTTTTACCAACAAAGAGTGGGTAATTTCAAGCAAATTTACTTAAAATTCATACATAGTCATTTTCATTTGTCTTCTAT